TTTTTTTTTTAATATTCCGGAATTGTCTAATACTCGATTCTTTTTTCGAGTACTCGACTTTTTGTAATACTCGGATATTGTCTAGTACTCGACTTTTTTTTGAGTACTCGACATTTTTCGAGTACTCGAATTTTGAACTCGACTCGACTCGACTTCAAAAAACCAATACTCGCCCAACACTACATATTACCTACTAGTTACATACTCGTATATATATATATATATAACATTATAACCGTAATTAATAAGTTAGATTATAAGTAATAACTACAACTGTATAAATACAATTTAGTCCGAAATTCAAATGGAAAAATAATAACTTTATGTGTTTAAATTATCACTGATAGATTCACCGTATACGTTATATGACCATACAGTATATTCACGATACCTACACAACTATTTTCTTTCAGACTACGTCAATTGTTTAGTTCAATTCTAGTTTTTTATGTAATTTTAAATTACAGTTTTCTTTTTTTTTTTACGATATTTTACTACAAGTATCAAAATTAATGGTACTAAAAATTGGCGTCAGGGTAAAAAATCAAAATGTTATCCAAGTAAAGCTCGAAAAAATAAAGGAAATATTGTTGCACTTGGACAAAAAAAGGTTAGTGAACTTAGATACAATTAGAACATAAAAATAGTCTATTCGAGATGCTAGAGTAGGTTGCTTGTATAACATCCGAGCATTTATTTTTATTTTTTATTTTTTTTTATTTTATTTTTTAATTTGCCTCTGTTCGCACATTACTGCAAATCGATTATATAACGAAAATAACAATGGTATTAATTAGTGAATAATAATAAAAATAACAACAATACTAACAAAATATATATAAGAACAATTTAATTAAATTAAGAAGCCAGCGGAATAAATGAAATTTATGATGGAATGGATAACAGGTATGGAATGAGAGTTAAGATCCGAGCATTTATAATATTGATTTATAATATTTATTTTATAATATTCATAAATCCGAATTTACACCAGACTGACAAATCTACAAAATTCTGTTTTCCAACAAATTAGAGACAAAATAAAATAAATTCTGCAACAAAATGTTTATATTTTTTAAGATTAATTCTATTTTGTTGGCTTGGTACATTATAATCTGGCATAATATTAGACCTAATATATCTACCTAATTTATTATACTTAATATGACACCACTTTTATGGTTCGTCTATAATTATTTTTTTTTATTTTTGTACAGGAAACTAATCTTATTTTTAGTCATGATGAAATTGTTGATGATAATACTACTATAGTAGCCTCTAGTTCTACTAGTACTGGAAGATCAGTGCGTATTAAAATGTAAGAAAAAATACTTTTTTTATAAAGTAACCACTCATTTTGATTAGATACCTATATATTCTAATACAATACACTTTCGGTTTTGCTTGAAGACATGTATACCCAATATTTATTGGGTACTTCAAACAATTTCAATTAAACAATATTTGTTATTTATTTTCTCGGTACTTATATATTTTGATTTTATAGCTAAATACTATATAATTTTTGAAATATAAAATATAGAAAATACAAAGGTAAGTTATTGGCACAATTGTTTTTTTTTTCAAATATTTTTTTGTTTTAATTGTGATACAACTCAATTGATACTACGTCCTACGTCTTCAATACTATTAAAAAGTAATAATTTCAATATATATTTAGGATCAATGCAGATGTGAGTGACACGGAAGACCTTGCATTACCTTTAGTTTGGGAAAAAATGACCATAAAGCAGACTTGAAACTCGAAAGAAGAAGAATTATGGACATAAATTATATATTTAATTCAATTAAGTCATTTTCCCATTCATTAGGATGCATTTTTAAAAATTTGATTTTTATACACGAGATAATAAATGGATGCATAAGTTAATTTTATTTTAAGTGTAATTTTTGTTTCCAAAAAGAGGTGATACATTCAGAAGAACCTGGCGCTATATTTAACACCAATATACCAGTTGTTTTAGGAGTAGTAAACATTGGCTAAGGGTTAGTTTTAGATTAATTATTATTAAATCAGCATAATTTTAATTAAAATTGTTTTAATTATTGAAAATTTTGTATTAGATATGCTTAGTTAGAAGAATTTTGTGCCATTATCAACATGCCAGTTATGTCCAATAATAAGTATCAATTATTGCATAACGAAGTAGCTTCAACTATGAATGATATTTCTTGGGAAGAAATAGAACTAGCTGGGAAGGAAGAAGCGACAATTGCAATTCAAAATAATGTTGTTGATTCTAACGGTAGACCTATGATAGCAGTGATTGCAGATGGCACTTGGTCTAAACGCTCATACAAAACTAAATACAATGCACTTTCTGGAGTTGTAAGTATATAGTTTTTTTTTTTTTAATCACAGTAAAATTATGGTAAAATATAACGTTTGAAAGAGAATGTCTGTCCTTCAATATTTTAGATTCTGAATGAAATAATGAATGTATTGATTTTACAATGATGTATGTTATTTTTATTTATTTTATTTTATCTTTTTTTATGTCTGACAACACGTTTTGAAACAGTAAAAATGCCTACATTTTCTCGATTTTCCCTTTTTGATTGTGTATTTATAGTAACATATTATTAATAAAAACATTATGATCATTAATAATGCACCATGAGTAATCAGAACTATATATTTATACGAGTAATTAATAAATTAAATATGCAATTCTAATATTCGATTACTAGGCCTGCATAGTCGGAGCTAAAACAAAAAAAATATTATTCATTGGTGTGAAGAACAAGTTATGTTGTGTTTGCCAGAGAGCATCCAAAAATCACATGGATCCCAAGGATCATATTTGTTTTAAAAATTGGAACTTGCTTTCAACCGCTATGGAAGCAGATATTATTGTCGAAGGATTTAAAAGAAGCTTTGAAATGCATAATTTTATTTATTCAAGGCTTATAGGTAATTTAAAACATGGATTACACTAAATTAATTTTTATACACAATATTTTTGTTATAATTAATTTAATAATAAAAGTTTAAGTTTATAAAAACTAAATTAAAAACTAGAAAAAGTATAAAATATATTTTTATAATAATAACTTACGTCATAACTCACAATCATAATTTTAATAAAATTAGGTGATGGAGATAGTAGCGTGATGAAAAAATTATATCTATAATAGTAAACCCTACGGAAATTATTTTGTTATCAAAAAGATTGAATGTAATAATCATATATTACGCAATTATGTCAATAAATTGAAAGATATTTCTACTAAAAGGACAGCTAGAGGCGTAAATATCCCGGGAAATATAAGACAAGTAATTAAAGATAGGGTTCTTAGGCTTAGGTATGCAGTCACAGAAGCTGTCAAATACAGAAAAAATCAAAAAAATACTTTATACAAAGAACAATTATTAAATTTAAAAAGTCATTTAGTGAATGGACCAAATCATGTTTTTGGTAATCATAAAAATTGTCTTGACTATTTTCGCAAAGGGCAAAAAGATGGTGAAATAAATTTAGTTTCACAAATGAAATTATTGGGGGCTTGGGACGAGTTAGTAGCTGCAAAAAGTCATGTTTTATACAATGCTGAAAGTTTATTGTATAAAATAAGTAATAATGCAGCAAAATCGTACAACTCAATATTGGCGAAATTTATTGGTGACAAACGTGTACATTTTTCTCTTCGAGGTTCTTATAATTTACGGTGTAACGCTGCAGTATTATTTCGCATAATTAAAACAACTGTACAGGAAATTTAATGTAAGGTAGTTATAAGTTATTAAAGTACATTTATATAACATTAATGTATTCTTCAGACGATTGTACTTTCCATAGTATTAATATTTGTTACAAATCCCTATTATTCGAATAACGTGTACGCTGTCGTTTTGGAAACTTAAAATCATAAAAACACGTTTAAGGAACTGTTACACACAAAATAATTTAAAATCATTTTTTTTTATGAACTAAAAAAGGGAATAAAGCGGATCAATATCATGTAATTGATTCAACGTGTGAAAAAAACACAGCTGCATGTCCCCAGCCCCCCC